TGTCTCTAGTTTCTCATTCTTTATGGCTGAGTAATACTCCATTTTATAAAAAAACCACATCTTTTTTATCCAGTTTCCAGTTGATGGGCACTTGGGCTGTTTCCAAGCTTTCGCTATTATGAACTGTGCAGCTATAAACATGGGCACACATATATTGCTGTGGTAAGATTTTTTTAAATTCTTTTGTGAAGATACCCAGTAGGGGAATAGCTGGGTCGAATGGGACCTCTAAGCCTAGTTCTTTGAGGTATCTCCATACGGATTTTCACAGTGGTTGCACCAGTCTGCACTCCCACCAACAATGGAGAAGGGTTCCTTTCTCCTCACACCCCTGCCTGCATTTGTTATTGGTTGATTTCTTGATAGCAGCCATTCTTTCTGGGGTGAGGTGGAATCTTAGTGTTGTTTTCATCTGCATCTCTCGAATAACCAGTGATGTTGAGCATTTTTTCATATATTTATATGCTGCCTTTACTTCTTTGTCTGAGAAATGTCTATTCATTTCAGATGCCCATTTTTGAATTGGGTCTTTGAATTTGGAGGGTCTGATTTTTTTCAGTTCTTTATGTATTCTAGATAGTAGTCCTTTGTCCAAGATACAGTTGCTGAAAATTTTTTCCTACATTGTAGGTTGTCTCAGCTCTGTTAGTGGTTTCTCTGGCAGTGCAGAGGCTTTTTAATAAGGTAAGATCCCAGTTGTTGATTCTTTGTGCAAGTTCCCATGCTACTGAGGTTTTGTTCATAAAGTCTTTTCCTGTACCAATATCTTCAAGAGTTCTACCTAACTTATCTTTCAGCAAATTTAGTGTTTCTGTCCTAATATTTAAATCTTTAATCCACTTTGATTTTAATTTAGTGCATGGTGATAGGCATGGGTCAAGTTTTAATCTTTGGCTGGTTGAAATCCAGTTTTTCCAACACCATTTATTAAATAGGCTCAATAGAACTTTTTGTGTCCTAGATTTCTGTTTGATAACTTTTTGTGGACTCTAATTCTTTGCTAAACTGGTAGTTCATATTGTATATCATTTTGTGTAGATCAGCTAGCTTTTTATTAGTGTTTTCTTTAAGCTCACTGACCATTTAGTTATATCATCTTTGAGCTCACTGAGCACCATATTGATCTGTTTATTTTGTTGTTGTTGTTTCCTCTTTTGTCACTTCATATTGTTGGCTGTTTGGCTTCTGATTTCCTCTCCATCAGTGCCTCATAGGTCAGCTTTGGGAGAGTTCAGGGTTTTTTGAAGGATTTGATTGCAGTGTTCTCTCATTTTTCTATTGCTTTATTTGTGCTGAGGGTTGAAGATCAAGTATAGTGGAGATATTCTTAATTAGTATTTGCTTTCCAGTGATGTGCTTTAGGTATGGCTAACTTTAGGTCTTTACTTCTGTCCCAAGATCCATCCACCTTCATTAATTTGAGGCGGGGAAGATGCAATGTAATTCTCCCCATACCCAGTTCTATGGAAAATAACTGCAGTAATGTTGGTGACACAAAGACAAACCAAATGTTAGCATACAAAACAGCCAATTAATAGCACCATCTGTGCAATCACTGGCAATAGCAAAGAAATCAGCAACAATAAAAGTCAAAGACAAACTGGATATTGATATACCATAGGAACCAATAAAAGCTATCACTGTACCACCCTTAGTAATAGAAGTCTGCAATAATAATATAGACAGAAAACGGACCAAATATTGACAAGCAGTAAATATCTGCAGCAACTCTACCGCCATTAACAATAGAAAAGAATTCAACCATAGAGTCACCTAAGTTTCTAAAAGTGAATAATGCATAATATTAATGCTGATAAAAATGGAGGGGATAGTGAAGCTGGAAATCAAAGATGTAAAATATGAAAATAAAGAAAAGGAGGATGAGAAGGAGGCAAGAAAAGTGAGATAAAGGATCTAATTATGCAAAAGAAAATCAATATTAGATAAAAATAACATAATTTAAAAGAGGAAACAAGAAAAAGAAGAAAGAAATAACAAAGAACAACAACCAAAATCACTGCTTTCTCCACCTAGCTTTATGGCCTGTGGGTTTGTGAGGTGCTATCCCCTGCTTCAGAGCTTCCCTGTGTCTGTATACTCCAGGCTGTGGCAAGCGCCCTAGCCAAGGAGTATCTCTGTTTGTGTTAGCAGATGAGGGAAGCAGACTATTGACCTTTGTGCTGGATGCAGGCAGTGGGGCAGGGTGGTCAAGCAGTCTGCTGGATTCAGCACTTTTAGACCCAGTACCCTCTGAAAACCATATGCAACCAGCCTGGCTTCTCACTGCCAAGGGTGGGATCCCCATATACTTTCAGACCTGACCTTAAACTTCTTAGGTCATCTATAACTAGCTCTGACTCTTCTCCATGACTGTCTCTTGTGGCCACCTCCCATGCAGTCATTGGTAGGGTGACCCTGGAAACCCTGAAGTGCAGTTATTCTGTGGCTTCTGATTTCTGGATTAGCCCCATCTTAGAAAATCAATGCCTTCCCCAATGTCCCCTGATTAAACACTTTCAAATATGGTGGGCTTTTCACTGAGTTTCTTCTCCAAGTCTAGCCTACCATGTGGAAGGAGTCACTCTCAAAGTAAAGCCTCATTCTATTTTTGCAGTTTACAATAGCCATGGGCTTTCACAGGGCCAGTGCTGCCAGCTCAATGTATTGTTTCTCCTTGGGGCTGCCGACCCTCTCCAGGCTTACCTTGTATTAGCAGCGACAGGTCCTTTCCCAGGAGTGGGTTTGTGACAGGTGCCATGGAGAGCTCTGAGGCTCTCTGTCAGCTAGGTGGGGTATAGTAGCTGTTCCAGGTCAGGCGTTTTGGAAGCTGAAACCCAACTAAGATGTCACTGCAGACTGTGGAGTAGGATAACAAGTAAATCTTTGTAGAGGGTGACATTGAACCAGAGCACCCTGCTTCCTGTCCTCAGGTCCCTCCTATCTGAACCTTGCCACCCTAGCCCTTCTCTGTGTGTGTGGGTCACACATGGGGGCTCCATTCTGTGTGCTGTGTTTATCACTCACACTTCATTGATTGTCCCAGTGGCCCTTGTCCAAGTTTCCTGGTCCTCTTTGTTCTCTGTTTATCAGGGCCTTACACTACACAGAAGCAGTCATCACAGCAGGAGCAGGAGGCCTTTATGTTTAGTTCTGGCAAGAAGATATACCTTTGGACAATACATTTGATGACAATAAAAATCTGAGAAGAGAGAGGAGGCAAAGGGGCCTGGTGTGGTCTCACATGGGCGACTCAGTTGGATGTGGAGCATGCTCCAGAGGGCCCTTCCTGCTCTCCAGGTCATGCCTGTGACACACCATGGGGCTGAAACATGCCATCTTGTGCTCAGAAGAGAAGGAGTACCCACTTCTAGTAAGTCCATAGGCAGCTCTGTTGCTCTCGTGCTGGGAGTGGAGGTCAGTCCCTGACTCCCTGCATGTGCTGAAGGAAAGGCGGGCCCCGACCCTATGGTATCAGGGCAGGAAGAGGGCAACCCGCCTCAATTTCTGTAATGCTCAGGCTTGTGCCTGCTTTTTCCTGGAGTCATTGTAGTCTGGGTGGGCAGCAGATGCTGTGAAGGCAGAAGACCAAGGATTAGAGATTGTGCTAGCCCAGGAGTCACCATCTGTTTGAGAGGTCAGAACTGGGAGAGTGACTTTAGGTTCCCTCCTGGATATGGGCATGAGTATCCCAGTGTGGTGTGGGAGACAGTGAGTCACACAGCTGGCCATGGAGTTGCCATAGAGGTCAGACTGAGGATAGGCAGGTGAAGAGACATAGCTGATGCTCAGTGAGGCTATCATAGATACTGGCTCCCAGGAAGCCTTGTCCTTCACTGCTAGCTGAGCAGCCCAGATGGGGACCTTCAGCTTCCTTCCACTGGGCCTGCTGGTTGTTAATAAGGCCACAGTCATCACCAGAGGGCAGCAAAGTCACAGCAGATATTCTTCTGCTCAGTAGATTTTAGTTCTTTTTTTTTTTTAATCTTCCCTGGTTTGTCCATTCATATTTCACTGGTTTCCTAACAAGATGTCATATGGTGATATATGTGTAGTCTGATCTTTAAATTATCATGTGTAACTCTCAGGCAGTGGGCTCTGCAGTGGCAAATTTCCATGCTCTCTAAGGTTTTCATTACCCAGTGCCTAGGTCTGGGCTATGCTGGAATAGCCGAACAAGTGTAGAGTCATTGGCTGCCTGAATGTGATCCATTCTATGTCTCTTTCACATGCCAGCTACTGTCCCTCCAACACACTGGTCCTGGGTAGATCTTTCAAACACCATCTTTGCCTTCTGCTCTTGCCTCTCCTGCTCCTCAGAGCACTCGGGTGGATGCATCTGAGGATGCTGCATCAGGCTGGTCTCCCTTGGCTCAAGGCCTTTCTGAGAGGCTATGAGTACAAGACAGAGTAAGGCCCAAGACCATATATTCCCCAACCCAATACAGGGTGGGTGCAGATGGAAGGAGGAATGCTAGACAGAAAAGCTTGAAAGGCAAGTGGAAACTATTGGGGTCCTCAGACCACAGCACCCCAGTATCATCACACAGCCAGAGTACATGCCCAGGAAACCAGCCCCTGAAACAGGCATGTTACAGATGGTAGTTGGTATGTGAGAATGCTCTGGGAACCCTTTTCCTCCATTATAATAAAAGAAAAGCGGTTCTTTAAAAGATGCGTAACTTACCTCAAAGTCTTCTGTACTGTTTTCTGATATTGTACTTTCTAATGTTCCTTTTTAAAGCATATGCTCACATATACACCCATGATTCTGAACTTCATATTTTAAGAAATATGAGCTTTCGGAAACATCTCCTTCAGGAGCTGTGTTGATTAAACCTCTAAGTGAAGTATCATCTTGGGGCTATGGTTCTATTGGTGTGGCTGTAGCTAGGAAACGCCACCGTATGTGTTATTTACTCCTTGAAGAAAGGCAGTTTAGGTGTTTCTTGGCAACGTGCAGGCAGATAACACCCTTGATCCTCTCTCCTTGCACTGGTTAGGTCACGATGGAGCTGTGAATTGCATCTGCTGGAGCCATGATGGGAGGTGGCTGCTCTCTGCTGCACAGGACTGGACTCTGAGGGTGTGGTCAGTTCACAGGAAGGAAATCATGCTGCTGCTGGTAATGCATGCCCTATCTGATGAGGAACTCTGGACATGTGGTCTGGAGCACTGTCTAGCTGGAAGTGAGCTTGGAGGCCCCACAATTACCTTGATCTTGAGGTTGGGAAATGGACATAAACCAGGAGTTTGCTTCAGTGCAATAGAAATTGCTGAGTGATTCAGTAGTTTCTTATACACATTCATTCACACATGATATGTGGACCCAGATGATATATGTGTACATATATATAGTGTATACATATATGTAAACGCAGTTAACGTATCTTTATATTTATTATGGTCTGCAAATAGCAAAACAATGCTGAAATACTTGAATGATTTGAAATTCAAATTATTAATTTTTGTAGTAATAATAAAAATGAACAAGAGTATATTATGCAAAGGAAGTGTATTTTGGAGAGTAAAATTGTTTTAGATAAGTTATGTAAGATTATTTGGAAATAGAATGGGAGAGGAGAGAAAAAAGATTGCAAAAATCTTAATAACTAAGGAAGGAAAAGAAAGGCAATAATAGAAAACTCATTTTCAGTTAAAGAAATTATGTCCTGGTGATTACAAATACATAAATGGTGAAATTTTCAAAATTATTAGTATTTATTTTCTTTTTTGGTGTGTATAAAATGTTTTATTTAAAGGTTTTTAATATGTACATATTACATTATGATGACCAAGGCAGTATTCTACATGACAAAAATCAAAATAAAACAAATTTATAAAGTAAATGTACAGGCACTGAACAAGCATATTTGATATTTAATTCAGGCTGCATATACATAAAACAGTATTACCACAGGCTTACGCAAAATAAATTATTTCTTAGAACACCAAAATGCCAACCATTCTAACTGTCCAATGCCTTATGTATTTTGAGAGAATTTTTATATATTATAAAAACAACTGGCGTAACTAACACTTAATGACTGCAAAAAATAGAATGTAATTAAAAACATTTGTAATGCAATTCTGGATAAAATATACACAGTAAATCTCATTAGTTAAAAAATTTAAAAACAAAACATTACCCTGAATAATGATGAAAACCTCACTATGGAAAAATAGTCATTTCTCAAAGAACTAAAACTAGAGGTTCCTTTTGACCCAACTATACCTCTTCTTGGTGTCTTCCCAAAAGAATTAAAAACATCATACCACAGCAGTATATGTACACCCATGTTTATAGCAGCACCATTTGCAATAGCTAAATCTTGGAAACAGCCCAAATGCCCACCAACTGATAAATGGATAAAGAAGATGTGGTTTTTTTATACAATGGAGTGCTACTCTGCCATAAAGAAGGATGAGCTTCAGACATTTATAGCTAAATGGATGGACCTTGAGACCATACTCTTAAGTGTAATAAGTCAGACACATATGTTTAAATATTGCACTATTTCTCTGGTGTAAGAAACTTAATGTGGAAATAAGGACTGAGATGTATAATGGATGTTGGAAAATGGAAAGTAAGTGTTCAAATGGGAAGGGGAAGAAGGGAGGAGGAAGGGAGAAAGGAAGAAAGCAACAAGAAAAAAGTGAAAATAGAAGGGAAAAAGGGAAAACAAAGCTTTTGTACATAGGGAGGGGAGGGGGCTTGGGGGGAATGGGATAAAATAAAAAAATAAAATTAAGAAAAAAATGCTCATCATTTGTATATTATTGGTAGAAAGATGCAAGGTGTAAGATTTTGTTGGGGGGAGGGGGAATGGGAAGACATCTAATGAAATCACTCATTTAAAATTTGTTCAAAATGTTCATAAGTTTGTAACCAGCTGTTTATACCATCTTAAAACATTTTACCATGAATGTAGTTTATACTGTTCCTCAAAATGAGATCCAAGGGCTGGGGATTTAGCTCAGTGGCACTGCACCTGCCTTGCAAGTGCAAGGTCCTGAGTTTAGTCCCTAGTACCAAACAAACAAAATGAGATCCAAAGGCCTGAAAGAATTCTAATGTGGGCCCACTAATATATATTATAAACAAACTCCCAATGTGATTATTCTATATTCTGAAATGCCCTATGGGAAAGAGCAATACCTAAAAGAAAAATCATGAACATAAACATACTTTTGACATGTGAGAATTGCATATGTTTATGATGTGAATATTGTTTTTTGTTTTAAAGCAAGTTCCCGGCATTAAGGGAAACATGTATACCTTTCAAATAAACATGTGAATGTATATAAACATTTTCCTTTGATATTCTTATTACTTTCAAACTTAGTTATTTGAAGAAAAGACAATATATGACTACAAGCTTTGGAAAGGTTATATTTCTAATGAAATG